AGAGAGAGAGAGAGAGAGAGAGAGAGAGAGAGAGAGAGAGAGAGAGAGAGAGAGAGAGAGAGAGAGAGAGAGAGACAGACAGACAGACCAACCTCGATTCCCAACTCATGTGCACGCCTTATAGTCTCCTGGGAGTCTTCACGAGGAGGATCCATCATAGGAATAAAGCCAACCAGTTGCCAGCGTGCTCCTTCAGTGTTGGAGCAGATGATGCCAATTGTGCGGAATCCCCGCTGTGCTTTCTCTAGCATGAACTGTTCCGCAAAAGCTCTGGCTTTTTCATCATCGAGCTTGTCGATCATGATATTTGGTGCTCCTTTGGAGATCAGAAGAGTTTTCCCTGCCACATCATAATCCACTGGGTTTATTCAACTTCATTGCCAGGCAAATGGTATTTTACTATTTTGAATGGTGGGACCATGGAACTCGATCAAGGTACACTCGTTTCGGGAAAGGGGCTGACTCCAGTCCTTCCCAAGGGTCAGGAACTGCAAGGTTTTTTTTTTTTTTTTTTTTTTTTTTTTTTCCCCTTCCCTTTTTTGTTTTGTCTTAATGATTGCTGCCATCACTGTCTACGCTGTTGTACGATTTCTTTTGCTGTTGTGCTAATATCATTTCATGCATGTCATGTTCAGCAGGCACACGATGGTCACAAAATATACGTCGGTGACCAGTCACGATTGGTGACATCATTGGTGTATATTTGGAAAAACTGGGACAAGCTAGTGCTTCTGTTGTTGTTTCTGTTGTTTGTTGTTGTTCCGTTCTTTTTTTTTCTTTTTTTTTTTTAGAAAGCTGCAGATTTCCAGATTTATTATATAATCCACCAGTGAGGCCGGGAATTCCTCAACATCTCAACCCGGACAGAGCTGGGGCCATTACCCAGTTTTGGCTTGTGCTGGAAACCGGGTCCAGCGTCCCCTTATCTGCAACTTCGCCACAAAATAAAGCTGGACAATTAAAACACAACCAGAAATAACAGAAAAGAAAGCTATACTACCCTCCCCCAAGAAGAAGTGACTCGTCTCCTACCTAATTACCCTTAGCCCTCTGCGTTCCCCCTCATCCCCTGTTGGAACCCTAGGCTTGCCTCCCCTTTCAAACCTAAACCTTGCACTTGCCTTCCTTCTTTTTCTTTTTCCAACTCCTCGTCCTCTGTTCTAAAATTCTTATAGACTTATACCCTAAACCCTACCGTATCCCTTTTGCTCCAATCTCGTCCTACTGGGAGAACCTGTGGAATGATAGGGCGGCGAGTCCTTCTATTGTTGCTACCTTCCCCTGTGCTAACCTTGTCTGCCGAAACTTCTGTATCAATTCCCTGGCTTGCTCTGGGCTTTGGCGTGCTTGCTTTCGTGTCTTCTGCCATTGCGCTTCGATGTCTGTTTCCAGCAGGTTGTCGTATGTCTCCTTTGCCTCCTGCCCATGCATTGGATGCTTCCCTATTGTTTGCTGGCATCTCCGCTTCCACATGGTCCAAAGGGCATACTGCCCCAGCAAGTGGAATGCCCGCTTCCGCTATTGTTGCCATGACTCCGGGATGTCCATACCATACCTAGGACTAGTCTTCTCTTGTCCTCCGGAAATGGAGCATCGGCAATTTGACCTCACAGGGACCTAGCTTCCTCCCACACGTATGCCGCCTCCGGACAGGCAACTTGAATTAGGCAGTGAGTCACAGTCTCCGGTACTTCCTCCCTGCACTGCGCGCATGCTTGGTTGGTGGGGTCTCTTAGATGCTGGCTGCGACGTTCATAGAGCCATGAGTTGACTCGGCAGCGTGAGGTGGAAGATCAGCCATAGCATTCTCCTGACTTTCCCCAACCGTATGGTTTGTAGTGCTGGCCATGGCAGATGAGCCACTTGCACCCTGGGTACTTCCATTCTCCTTTCACATGGCAAGCGGCTCCTCAAGTGGGATGGATCTTCTTCTTAGCCTGTATCCCATCTTTTGTTGTGTAGTGTATCATGCGAATACTCCTGGCCAACTTTAGCACCCCCCCCCCCCAACCTGAGATTCCATGCCCAATCTGCTGGGTCGACCTCCATCCAAGTCTTCTATTGCTGTTGTGGGTGTGAAGATTGGGAACTCCACAGTTTCTATCACCCTTTCCTTGTGCTCCATGTTTCTTCTTATTCTGATTGGGGTGCATGTTTCCTTGTCCAACTTGCTTGTGGCCCCCGGGGTCTCAATTTTGTACATATCTGCCTACAGCCTCACCTGCCCTGGTCCCGCCGTGCCACCTATCCTAAAACACCTGTGCCGGTGCTTCGTCAAATTGCCATGTGGCCCAGTCCCCTGCACCCCACTGTTGGGGTTCCTTCAAGAGTCTGGTCCATTCCGCTGGGATGGAGATGAGGACGTCGTTTAGGTTCTCTAATAATCTGTGACTCCCCTTCATGTCTGCTTGGAGATCCTGGGGCGTCTTCCATTGACCCTTGTCTTCTGACCAGGGATGTTTGATCTGCCAGATGCCATGTTCCAGCCACGAACCCCATTTGGAATCCGCTGCCATAAGGGTACGGGGCTTGCCGTGAAGCTCCTTGATCCACGGGTTGCAGAAGAGCGACTGCCCGAGTACCTCTTCCCTGGTTCTTGGTTCCCTCACCCTTGCTGGGAAGGTGCCCCTCCGGAGTTTGAGGAGATGTCGCCAGTATGATACTCCCTTCGTGTCGGACAACCTCTGTTCTCTCCCCCCTCCTCCCCTTTTCCCCTTGTTGGCCCAACTTTTGCATGTGAACCAGAACAGCCCTGACATGTTCGGTGGGGATTTGTATTTGGCTAGCTCAGCCTAGCAATCTGATGTGTTCCAAGGCCAGCGGCACCCAGGGTGGATCGGGGTGGGTAATAAGTTTGGCCACCCATTTAGTTTGCAGCGCCTTCAGCTGCTGCTCCGGTCCACGATGCCCAGACCCCCTCGTTCCTTTGACCGGGGGATCTGTCTCTACGCCACCTTCGATATTAATCATTACTTAGTTGGATTTGCTGTCCAAAGATAAGCCTCTGCTTCCCTCCTCAGAGTCTTGACTGCTTGCGTGGGCAGGGTCCAAATAGTTCCGATGTACCACACCATGGCGAAGATGGAGGTGTTCAAAATGAGCGCCCTTCCAAACAGAGAAAGGTGTATATTTCCGACCAAGCACTCGTCTTGTTGAGCATCTTTGTTAAGATCTCCGGAGCCCTCAAGTGGTCAGGACCTGCATCCCTTTTCCCCTTCTTGGCCCAACTTTTCCATGTGAGCCAGAACAGCCCTGACATGTTAGGTGGGGATTTGTTAAGATCTCCTCATAAGCCTTCCAATCTGATCCCCAGGTAATGGAGGGGTCGTGATGTTGTTTTGTTTTGTTTTGGTGTTTTTTTTTTGTCTTTTTTTTTGTTGTTGTTGAAAAGGCAGCACTTTGTATTGATAATACCGAAAAACAGGTCCAGTGTCCCTTACAAGTTACAATGGATTCACACATGCTATGCTTCCCTTCGTTATGGCCAAGCGATCCCGAGACGTCAGCGTTGGTTACTTGAGCTTACTTTTTTTTTCCAGGAGGATGTACCACCCCTCTGCTTTTGCTTCCTAACCAAAATTCTGAATACCCACACTATATTGCGTACCAGGCGCTATCTGAGCCTATCTCTTCTCTACATTAGATTCACGAAGGCGAGTCTTGAAGGCTGCTCTCCGATCGCCGCTGGATCTTCGCAGTGACCCTTTTTTTCCTCTCAACCCCTTTAACGGTTGCCCTGCATTACTCTGAATGAACCATGGCAGCGATCCGGACCTCCGGACAGGGATCCGGACCGTCCGGTGTCCGGTGTCCGGTGAATGTGTCCGGATCCCGGTCCGGATTACAGGCCCTTTGGCCAACGGCCAAATTTTTTTGGGTTTGTCCAGGGCGTTTCGTCTCACCCAGGGCTGCCAGCCAAAAATACGAGCATAATTTTTTTGGCCCTGAAGGGGCATCCGGTAGGGCCAGAATTTTTTTTTTTTTGCCTGTGGGAAGTTTTCTTCCTTCTATGTTTCTGCCCGTTTGAATGTCATCCTTGCATCGTGGCAGCTTCGTAGTGGGCACAGTCTTTGAATTCATCATCCCGTCTTGCGAGTTTGGCCGCCCCCCCTCCCACAACAATGTTCAAGCTTGCATGCCCGCCACTACCGCCATTGTCAGAGGGAGGAAGAAGCAGGGCAACGAGGCGGCCATAGCAGGGAAGGAGCAGACGCGGAGCAGGCGCAGGAGGGCTGGCAGTGGGTGCAGCAAAGGCCGCACGAGGAGCAGTGCAAGCAGCTCTCTCTCTCTCTCTCTCTCTCTCTCTCTCTCTCTCTCTCTCTCTCTCTCTCGTCATTTTGTTGTCATGGTCTTCCTCCTTTCTGCTCCTCCGTCCGCCTCCTCCTTTTCCATGTCTGCGTCCTCCTTCCGGTCCTCCTCCTCCTCCTCCTCTTGGTCATCATCATGTACTTGCTATAACCTCCCCCGCTCCCTTCCCTGCTCATGCCATGTGGCACCCTTTTTCCTTTTTTTTTTGGATCTTTGTCGTCATATTCCTCGTCTTCATCCTCCTCCCGGTCCTCCCCGTCCACGTCTTTGCCCTCCTCCTGCTGCTACTCCATGTCTTCGCCCTCCTCCCCCTCATCTTGGTTGTTGACATGTACTCGCTGCAACCTCCCCTCCCCGCCCCTACCTGTGCCACATGCCCTTTTCGTTGTTTTCAACCCATTTGCAATATTTTGTATAGCAGGCTTTTTTTTTTTTTTTTTTTTTTTTAATCCGGACATGTACACACATCCGGACAGGGATCCGGACAGGCTGATCCGGACATGTCCATGTCCGGATTAACCGGAAAATACCGGAACTCCGGACGTTCGGATGAAACCGGGAAATCCGGTTTCCGGTGTCCGGACTTGTCCGGTTCACTTGTCCGCCGCTGCCATGGAATGAACCAACTCGGTTTGCTATTCCGACCTGCAAGGAATAGCTGCAGAAATTCAGCTCATCCAGACATTCCATTTTCTGTCAGATTTGGGCTTCCAATCCCCTCCTCTCAACCCCTTTAATCTTCGGAACCGGATTAAGACCTAAGAACTTGATGTAAGAGAGAACAAATAATCGCCGGCTGAAAAACTACGCCCATATATAGGATTCCCCTCACTCTGGAGATGTGATATTTGTGTCTGCCTGATGTTGGGAGTTGTGCCAGTCTTTTCAGTGCCGGTGCTTCCCTTCGATTGCGGCAACTTTGCCCCCTAACAATCAATTACGCCAAAATCACGATTTGAAGCGACGTTCTTCCTCTGTCTTTGATTGTATTAGTGTCCTCATCTTCCTCCATTGCACTCTAATTTCGGCTTC